TTACCATTGTTAATGAACTGAGAGTGTAATAAGCGGACAAGGATTAAATATTAGTCCAACATATTTATCTTTGGATTTAGTTACGTTCACGTATCAAACGTCGCCCTGTATATACATAATCGTTTGCAGCTATTATACGTAAATATACTCATTTATACCATCGGCGGGTGCGTGTGTTATTGCCATCCAATTAACTACCTAATTTATTTCAGCCTAAATCGGGTGCTATGTAAATAAACGGACGTCTTGGTCGTCGTCATCTTGTACCATAAAGTATAAATTAAAGGAAATTACCCATATTTTATAAGAGGCAACGGCGGACGTTCCGGACGGGAACCAGGCCTCGGACACGATGGGACGTCTGCCCATAAATTTGCCCATACGAACCTGTCAAGTTCAGGGACTTTTGGGCGCAGCCGGTACTACATCTACACACACACACACACACACACACAAACGGATGATGGTATATCGTACGTATAATAACAAGCAAAGGTCTTTACCACGACCGACAACAACGATGCGATGTGGACGTGTCTTTTATTATGGACCGGCCCAAAATGTGCTTGTTAACCAGAAACTCGTTTCCGACCTCATTTAGAATGCAAAGATGTGCCCATCGGGCAAACAGAACAGATCAACTACCAACTACTACTTATACGTTCCAGCAAGTCCCAGTTGGATTTTAGAATCGAATTCTTCACTGGATTACGCGCACGATTCTGATTGGTTCGAGATTATGTGCGAGAGCCGATAATAAAAAACAAAATTAAATCCATTTCTTTGTAAGTAGTGCAAATCACACATCACTAATTATTGCTGTACAGTCCGCTCGTCTTTAACTGTTCAACTTGATGGAAGTTCGAGATGGATGAAAAAGAAAAACCCATCAGAAGGATTTAATGAGTTTTGTTTACGTTTTCATGTTGCCTTCGTTAAAATGACCCTTGAGGTCATTTGAATTATAAAAATATGATTATGAAAAATTATGTAACATTTCTAATGAAGAAACTGTTCGAAGCAATGGAACCTAAATGTTCCATAATCCAATGGAATTACACTTACACTTACTTCTCAAAAAGAGTCATTTTGTTATAAAGTGGCTGGGTCCTAGCCCACTGCCAGTAGAATAATAAAATACAATAAGTGATCCACTTTTAAATCTGAACAAATATTTTAATTCGCGATTATCTGAAAGGAGGCAACACTTCAAAGAAAATAGCCCATGAAAATGCATTAAAATAAAAATCAATTGTTTGCTGAATTACTTAATGTTTATAAGACAAACTATTTACATTTTAGTAAAAATAATCTGATATAAACAAAAATAAATAATAAAATAACAATAAAAGCTTCGAATTTCTGGTTTACATATACTTATTATGAACGAACAATAAGGAAGCTTAAAAGGAGTTCAAATTCTTAACTGTTTCTAAAATTGACGACGAGAAAATTAAGAAAAGAGTTACAGTTCCTGCAGGAAAAGGAACTAAAAAGGACTATCTGGTGCATAAGAAATTAAAAGACGTTACCTAACCCAAAAAAATCTGTTACAGTTTGTTGCTGATCCGACAATTCCGATCGCCAATAAATCAAAATACTCAGCGCTGAAGGAAATTCTTCTTATTAGAAGCGCCCTTCATAAAAGTACTTTCTCTAGTCTAGTGTTTTTTATAAGGGAGCGAGTACCCAAATTGGGACAGTCCCGCTTTTGCTACAGTTCTGAAATCGTAGTGATAATATAAATCAGATCATCTATTACAGGGATAGGCAGGTAATTTTATTAGGCGGGGTTCTGATGAATTTAAATTTTTTTATCGAGGTCCAGAAAAAACATATTCCTTCCTCTAAAAATGATAAGGGTGGCTCTCAAAGCTCAAACATATTTTGTTATCTACACCAGAAAAAAAATATTTCTCCACTAATTAGAAGAAGTGGCCGATTTTAGGTATCTAAGATGTCAGAAAGGTTAATTCAGAAATTCGAAAAAGAATTTTAAAGGTGTATGTTTGGAGCGCAGCGTTGTACGGGTGGGAAACATTGACGATGGGAGCGGCGGAAAAGAAAAGGTTAGAAGCGTTCGAAATGTGGTGTTATAGGCGAATGATGAGGATACAGTGGATAGAGAAGGTTAAAAATGAAGAGGTATTAGAAAGAGTAAGAGAACAGAGAACTCTATTGAACTCATGAGAAATAGGCGAGATACGTTGGTAGGACATCTCAGGCATAAAGGTCTAGTCAGAGACATATTAGAGGCAGAAACGGGAGTTAGGAGGGGTTGAGGTAGACCTAGATTAGATTGCTGTTTGCAAATAGTTAAGGATGTGGGTTGTCCTAGTTTTAGGTATATATGAAGATTAGCTCAAGATAGGAAAGAGTGGGGGTGCGTTTCCAACCAGTCTTAGGATTGACTTCCTTATGATGATAATGATGAATAATTTACTCATTACAAAATGTAATCTAATCTAGGTCTACCTCTACCCCTCCTAACTCCTGTTTCTGCCTCTAATAGAGAGAGAGAGAGAGAGAGAGAGAGAGAAGGTGTCCTACCAACCTATCTCGCCTGTTTTTTATTGACTTCCATAGAGTCCTCTGTTCTCCTATTCTTTACAATACCTCTGAATAATTTACTACCAAAAAATTTTTGGCAGTCCAGTTTTTGACCTTCCGTAGTCCGGACCTGGACTGTTGATTTATATATACATATGTATTACTCAAAGGATGCAACTAGAAAAAGAAAGTACCCGTGCTTCTAGCATCTAATTAATTAAACACTTTATTAATTAAGATCGATCGGACAAAACATTTTTTTCAATTTAATTAAAAACTCTCGAAGTAGAATACAAATAAAAAAAGAAAGTGGTGGACATAACTTAACGATTAATATATATTCATAATGAATATATGCGTGCATAAGAATGCAATTAAATATTCGATTACATTTAATGTATATGTAGGTTTGTGTAAGTTGTAGGTACATGGACATAATATCATTTTAATTAGCACCTGCCGGATGAAGTATTTCACACACAGGGTATTTGCATGGAAATTATTTTATCACACAATCAGGCGTGTAATCAGCTCGTTATAATCTCGTTAAGAAAATAACGACATACGTTTTCAAACATATGATTAATGCATATCACACATAATTACAACATACGTGGATAAAGCAAATCACAATAACAAACGGCACCTACTTAAAAATCAAAAATCGGTATCAACTTTTGATGTCGAGGTTGCGTTTTGTTTTTCCATTTTACGAATTTTGTTGGCATAATGATGGGAAATTTTCTTCAAATTAATGCAGAACCAACACACTGCGATCCTGAACAACCTCCCTCAAATGAAAATGAAAACTTCTCACCCTTGTGCCAACAAAATGTGTAAGCTGATTTATTCACAAGGGTTTTATTGGAACAGTTTCACATTATAATTTCTAGGTTCCACTAAGTACAACATTTTTAACTTTTAATAATTTCTGCTGATATCCTGGTTGATGCAATATGATTTATAATTTATCTTTTTCATCGAAAGGCAAATTATCTAACCTCAAAAAAGGCATATGGTATAAAATTGGAGAAACCCACCGGTCACCAAATCTCCAGGGCTAAGACGTTTATTCAAAACCTATCCTATTGATGAAATTAATATATACACTAATTTAAACATAATAAAGACAACGATAATGATCATTTTTTCACAAAGTACTTATAATCATCACTAAATGCATAGATATCACAAGGTAACATATTTTAAAAAAGGTAAACTTCTTCAAATGATAATGGCCTTTTCATAATATTATCAAGCTTCTAAAACACATTTATATTCTAAATATTTTTGTCTATTAGTTTTAACTGTATTCTAAAAAATAGTTGTGAAAAAATGGTAAGCAATTTGAATTTTTATTACCGTTCCGCAAATTTACCTACCATTTTATTGGTAGATCAATTTAGAACCTTTTTTAAGTGATGTTATAAATCTTTTTCATCCTTTTCACTTAAGAGGTACAAAATCCAATGTAAGTAGTTATAATTGTGACAGAAACCCATAAACTTAATAGGCCAATTTTTCTACCTACCATTTGCTACATTTACAATTTACATTTATTATAGGGTTCCTTGTGTTATTTATCGCTAGGTATCGCCTGGTAGTAGTTTTGTCATTGAAAATGTAGGATTTGACCAAAATCGTCATATTTGATACTGAATTGATACTTCGTTTTTCCTCAATAGAATTTGAATTTAATATTAATGTGAAAATTCATTTAATTTGTATTCACTCACTACAAATTAGCTCAAACTCGCCGGGAATCGAACCCTTTAAAATATTTCATATGATATTAAAGTATCAACGAATATGTTACCTAATAAATAGGTAAGTATGTTTCGTAGTTGTTGCAGTTGTCACTTCTCATAGCTTAGTAGTCAGAGCATTGGTTCATAAAGACAAAGGTCCCGAGTTCAATTCCGGGCGAGTGTGTGACAACAGCAACAATCCACATTAATTTGAGGTAATAAGTAGTGAGTGAATACAAATTAAATGAATTTTCACATTAATATTAAATATTAACCACCCCATTCTTATATTATCTCATAAAACTATTCAAGTAATTCAGTTGATTTAAGTCTCTTCTTATAAGGTTCTTTATTATCTATAACTTTGCTGTACCTAAATCAGTTTTAATTTAAGACAGTGCATTTCAAGATAAATTTAAAACCCCCCTAATATTGTCCTATACCTGTCAGAAACTTATAATGACAAATAAGGCATTGACGTAAGGCAAACCTATCATGATTTTTAAGACACAGTTATTTCTGTATTAGAACTATTTCACCAATATCGTACCATACCCATTAAAAGTTATAGTCTTTCGCCTACTTTGTTTTACCAACAAGAAACAGTTCACCTTTTAATGGAACAAGAAAAGCTTCTTCATGTAAGTACGTTATAAAAAATTTTACGAACCGATAATAAACAAATAAAAAAAATTGACTTACCAAATATTCGAAGCCATTCCAAAGTAATAAACCAGTAAAAATGTAATGGCACAATTTGGATTAGAGAATCCGTCTTCAGGTATTTCATATCTTCTTCCACCCATGGGAATTCCCGCTGGGAGACAGGAGGTGTACGAACGTCCCATAAGCATTCTCAATGCCCAACCCCCGCTTACAAAACAGTAACACAAAGCAAGACTGACAAGGGGTCGAGCTCGTACCCTGCCACCCCCTATGCTCAAGGTTAAGACGGCTGCGGTGCTCGAAACGAGGCAGATGATGGTCCATACTGTTATCCACACCTAGAAAATCCATTTTTACGCTCAAGAGACAGGAAGTAATAAATAATAATGGCATTACGTAAACACGATCCAATTTAAAACATGTCAAGTGAAAAATGATCCGGATGAGAAGGAACAACCTTAAGAAATTATTTTTTCAAAATATTTTACTAAATGTACGGTCCCAAAACATAATTAAATGCAGCTTTCTTAGTTCATATACTAGTAGACTAAAGCACCTGCTTGAATTTTTAGTAAGGGATCGTTTCCACTTACGTATTAAAAATAACAGGAAAGAGAAATTCATTCAAATATTTTAAATTTCCTTACGTAAGAAAAACCAAGGAGTAATGATCTCTTTATCACTTTTGAACAAATGAAAGTGGATGGAAAATCTACAATGTGTGCACAATGTGATTTAAGTGATCTAGAACGTATTGTAATATTTGTAGTTTTATCCGCCTGGCGATTACTAGCAGAAAAATTTAAGTTTGTAAAATGTAAATTTTGATACGAACGTTTAACTAGATTTTTGACCTAGAATAATTACTTATGAATTGACATTAGTTGACGTAATATAATAGATTATGTACATTGATTTTTGATTTGTACTTTGGAAGAAATAATATAAAAAAATTGTGTTCAGTACGTTGCAGAGATCCTAAATGTTATGTTATAGATAATTGAATAAAATAATTCGAAGTGGTCTGAATTCTGTCGAAAGTGCCAGACGCGGATCGCGATTTCTATCTGTTTGGATCTCATCAGCGCGGCGCAGGCAGCTTCGACAGAATACAGACCAACTTTTACCTGCTGCCTTAATTGCCTGCCTTTACTTTTATGTTTCCTAAATATTTTTTTTTATTTTCGTTTTTATACGAAGAAAACGAAAAACTGTTTGGTCCCCAATTTTAATACCGAAATTTCATTTTATCTTTAAACCTATAGAAAAGAATTTATATAGTAAGTAGTATTTTTACACTTTTATACCTACTGATAAGGTGAGGTGACCTATTATCGGAAGTTATATAAATAAATATGCTAAATTATTATTATGTTTATATTAGGTAGATACTAGAAACTCGAAATGGAAAAACAAATTTTATTTACAAGATAAGCAACCTAATAAATATCTTCAATTATACATATTTCTACGGATAATAATCAACCGGTTCTTTTCGTAATAATAATTCCTTATTTACAAACGGTAAACAATGAAAATAGTAAGGTAATTAAAGAATTACGGCTCTCAACACAATTAAACAATCATTCGGGCTGATACGCCTTATACCACACCTTCATCATTTTATTATTTAAGAACGAAACCCTGAATAAAATGCAATAACCTACGCAATACTTTATAATGCCAATAAAGACAGTAGCGGCTCATTCATATAATCACATTTAGTAGAAGAAAACATTTACGTGGTAAATTATGAAATTTTTAAACATTAACTCAAATCGGATTTCGATCTAACGAATCCCATCTTTCCTCGCAAATTATTAGCTTACGATTAATCTTAAGGTAATCTTCAGATTTCCTGAAATCTTAAGAATGTCTGACAAGCTAGCATTCTCATAAAACGAAATTGCAAAACGATTTAAATGAAAATTCAGTGTTAATTTACTGCTTCAATTAAAATTATGGTGCACCATTCCTTATATGAAAATTTCCAAAAATGTCTAAGTACGCTATAAATACTAACATGTGTAACTACATCCTATAGTCGTATAATTATGCTTTCTGCCCTCGAGCATCCACCTGTCACACCTACACCGAAAAATGATTAAAATATAGGGAAATTTAGTGGAGAAAAAAACATTGGCATGATAAGAAAAGAGAGGAATTTTTAAGGGAATTGAAATTAGATCAGGAACAGTTAAATGAGTGGAGAATTTTTGACATGTGTGTAGATGAGAGATCAGAGGTAAGGATCTGAAGAATATTGATAGATCAAGGTACGTAGGATGTATGAAGGCTTGGATGTGGGAGCATCGGCCAGGATATTTGAAAAGAATAAAAGAAATGGACAAATTCGGGTCTAATGTCCGTTTCCGATTGGAATTGTTTCTTAACGTTTTACTAGTACGAGTGGCAAGCTTCTGCAGAGGTCCTGCTATCTCCGATATTGGATGACTGGAATTGATGTCTTCAATGTTGATTATGTCGAAAAATTAATATGTTGGTAATATGTACGTGCGGATAAATATCCGGCTCGAAGGACCAAAAAATGTTGTGTGAAGTAAATTATTTTTGAATAATTAATATCACTTTTTTTTTATTTAATATGATTAATTAAATACGCTGAATTTTTAAAAACTGTATTATACAAGAAGGCACATTAATATTTACAATTTTATGACTTGTTACCTCCAGCGAAATTGTTACACTACTTACTTAAAATTATTTACATTAAAAAGTATCCCTACCAACTAATATTCCAACAGTACAAAATGTAGATAACATAGGTATACGAGTAGACCAATGTGGCATTTAAATGGAGAGATTTCCTAATACAATTTTAATGGGGTTGTTTTATTGTACACACTAAACCTTCCACAAACAGGTAAGCATAACTAGAATCACTGACCCTATGATGATGCCCGACACTGGACGTGGACAGGGTAAACTGATGCTATCCTATGATTCGTGTCAAGTCATTTCCTTTTAATATGCATCCTTTTCCCTTTTCACAATTTTTTTTTAGTCAGATGTGAGCATTCTCTCTCTCGCTTATCATCTCACTAGGCTCATCCCAATCCATATGTTCATCACATTTTTCAATATGTGAAGCAAAGCTTCCTCTCCATTCCACCCATTTTACATAACCTTTCATCCTTCTTCACCCAATTCTTATACTTCTGGTCCTAAACTTTGCTATCACATCCATCTGTTTTTTTGCTATCCTGATTAGGGTGTAAAGGCCGTCGTCGGCTAGAGTTACTTCCTAACATTTCGTTAACACCAGTGGCAAGCTTCTTCAGAAGTCCTTCCATCTTTGACGCTGGATGCAGACAATCCTTCAGAAGGACCTTTGAAGAAGCTCAGCACTTGTGCTAGCAAAACGTTAGGCAGGGACTCCAATCGACGACGGTATTTAAACCCAAATCAGGATAGCAGCAAAAGAAATGGATGTGATAGCAAGGTTTAGAACGGGAAATTAATATAGTAGTGGGTATAAGTATTGGATGAAGGAGGTTATATATAATTTGTGAAATGAGAGAGGGAGTTGTGATTGAATAATACTATTTAATTGTTAAAAGTGAAACATGTTTGATTTATTTAGTTAATTTTCCTGCAGAAAAAGGTTTATTTAAAATTTTTAAGGTATGTATGTGTCTAGATTAACTTATTGTTGAAATAAAGATATTAATAATAAGTTTGGAAAATATAGCTACTATATATTTCTGGGCATTGGAAACGAAATTTTCATTGAAGTCATTGTAATTTCCTGGTTCTCACCAAAATGTTTTTTTATGTACAGAAGTCTAAACACGTAAGAAGATACAACGTTCCTTGGTGGAGTATTCTTCTTCTACACATTTGTAGTTTTTGGTAGGTACGTACATGAAAGTGACGAAAATTAGTATGACTTTAATGGTAATTTTGTTTGAAATGGCAATAAATCATATTGTACGAACAGTATTTTTCACACATACTGATTTATTTTAAACAACTTTCGGTGTAGGTGTGACACCTGAATGCTCCATGGACAAAGGCATAATTTTATAACACATCGAATGTATGTAATTACGCATATTGGTAATAGATCTTCTTTATTGTATCTAATAGTACCTAAATGCTTGATACTCCTACTGTCCTAAGAATGTACTACGATGATTATGCTTCTTAAAAAACATTTTTAGTTTCGAATTGATATCCTTAAAAAGGATAATTTATTGCTTTAATCTAATAGTTGCAAGCTACAAATGTAAAAGTTGAATCTTGCCGCTGTCACAATGATATATGATATACGTTTTAGTGAATATTAAAAGCACTGTTTAGTAAAAAAAAGCGCTGCTCGTTTTTGAAATCACATTAAAGCCGGCAATTAAACTTGTCACAATAATTTATCGTTCTCTTTCTGAAAACGTTAACCATGTAATTTAATATAAAATCGTCCCGCTTCTAAAATCAGTTTTAATATTGCTTAAGTGGTTAGTCAAGTCAGACGTAATAAGAAAGCTTAAATGAATATTTATTTCTTAAAGTAAAATAGAAAAACTGAAATCTTATAGTAATAAGGAACTAAAATGGCCATTATAATTTTGTTAGTAAACAAATCTTAAAGGTAATGTTGGCGTTGGCAAATATATCTAAAACCATTGTTAACAGATAACAGAAAATAGGTTTGTCGATTGTTTAAATAAACATGATTAAAAATGTCATTAACTTACAGGGCGGAAGATTATGAAAATTGGAGAAGTGGACATTTCTAGCCCCTTCAGCCCTGCAATAGATACTACACTTGCAATTCACGAACACGTGCTTTAAAGTTTACTTTCATTCATAAATAATCACCATTTGTATATGATAAACCGCATCGGGATATAAATTAATGAATTGTTCAAAAAACCTCATTACTTTTTTAAGTATGCACAAGTTACTGATGAAGATAGTGAACATTACTGGGTTATGAGATATTTTACAATTTGTTTTAAAAATGACACCTACTTATTAGTATTTTTTGTTGAACCGTTGTCTTACCTCAGCAAACTTTTTCTCGGATGAGTCGAAAAGAATGTCAGCGTTACAAATCGGGACACAAGCCCCAGAAACATCAGTTTTGTCATGGTTTGGGGGACAGTCAAAGTTTTGAATGGCAGGTAATACAGGGGCTGTGATGTCAATCCCTAAATCTTTCGGGCCTTCCATGCACATGTGTTCGTGATTATTTTCTTCGGGAAAACGCGAACAATTAAGCGCGTCAGGCCAAGGAAACCCGAAACCTTGCAGCACGGGATAACACCTGGACCTAACACTTTCACATAGACCCCGACAAGGTCCGATAGGGTTCGTAACTTTTTCAGTACACATTGGAACGTACACGGAACATAAGAATAACTTGAGTTGCGAACTGCACCCGAATTGTATTAAGGGTGAAAAAGTTTTTAATGTGTAATCCGCCTCTTGTTGTAATTCGTTTCCGCCTAAATTGGGCATTCCGGTGAAGTTGTAGCCCAGTCCAGTGCATAATTCCACCCGGATGGGTTCGCAGGTGCGAAGCAGTGGTTCGGGGGTTGTTAACCCAAGAACCGCGGCCAATACGATAACCGACCACATATTCACCGACCGACGACACTCGCAACAATGAATGTGGCTTGTTTTCGTTCAGCTACATATATTCCGTCGATCGCCAACAATGGAATGTAGTCTTTCCGAAGGAAACCGACGCGTTCCGGCGATTGTCGAATTTCAAAGAGTTCGGAAACAAGAACGGGGAAGAACAAGACCGGATGCTAAAATCTGGAGATTCGGCAGCACACGTCGGCATGTTTATAAACAAAATTAGGCAGCTTATGGGTTGTATTTTGGGCTCTTGTTTGTAATAATCAAGTCGTTAATTGCTGTTCTAAGAAAGAATTAGCAGCCGAAAAATGGACGCTTTTAATCACACGATCGTTTCAGAAGCCGTGAAAACAAACAAGCGGACGTGGACTTGCGTTCACTAAAAATACAATTTTTATTCTCTTTTCAATGAAAGTAGAAAACATCATCATGTATTTTAACAGTGGATTTGTCAATGCAAAATTGCTCCATTAATTTGCATCCACACATAAACCCATTATTTAGGTTTTGTACCTCTAAAAGAAAAACGAAACCCTTTGAAATAAGCAGATTATTTTCCCCTGTCATAACTGTTCTCTTTTTTTTTTTAAACTATCAAACACTTAACCTTCCGTGGATAGAGAAAGCTAGAAATGAAGAGGTATTAGAAAGAGTAGGAGAACAGAGGACTGTATGGAAGTCGATAAGAAATAGGCCAGATAGGAAAAAAACTTTTGGGTGTTTCATTCCCACCAGCCAGTAATGCTGGTGGGCGGGAAGGGCTACGCCGGAAGGTAGGACGGAAGGCCCTCTTCAGCCTGCTTTCAGGAATCGTGGAAATGGGTGGGTGGTGGTGGTTCGGGTGAGAAAGATGAGACGGACGAAATGAAGACAGAATAAATGAATGAAAGATTATCTGTGGAATATTACTGCCCCAGAATTTGCCTAAGTGATCCAAGGAAACCATAGAAAAACTTGGACCAAGGCAGACGGACCCGGAATCGAACCGCCGTCCTCCCGAATGTTAAGCAATGGCCAGATAGGTTGGTCGGACACCTTATCAGAAATGAAGGTCTAGTCAGACATATTAGAGGCAGAAACGGGAGATAGGAGGGATAGAGGTAGACTTAGATTAGATTATTGTTGCAAATAGTTAAGGGTGTGGGTTGTTTTAGTTTTAGGGAAATGCAAGATTAGCTCAGGATAGGAAAGAGTAGAGGTGCATATCCAACCAGTCTTAGGACTGATGATTTTATGATAATGAAACAGTTCTTAACAGTTCATGCTCCAGTTTTAGGGAAATGCAAAGATAGGAAACACTGGAGATGCGTGTCCAACTAGTCTAAGCAGAATTATATAGATTTGTAAAGACCCTCATAATTTCATTGTTAGTAGGTGGTTTAAACATATTTACGGGAAAAGACAGCAATTTCAGAATTTAAGTTATTTACCATATTTCCACGTATTCTTCGCCGTCATTTCCGAAATTTTTGAAACTAAAATTATTTGAAAACATTGTCAAAAGAAAAAAGAACTTTACCTAAATTTTGCAGTTACTGTAAAAGCCCCAATATTGGTAAATCTTGATTAGGTTTTCCTTGTAGATCTTGGGATGTACCAACGCGATCTGGTAAATGTAAGGATTGATATAAAATATAGTTTTACCATTTTTCCGGTTTTTACAGTTGTGTGATAGTGTTCACTGTTACGCTTTCTCTTAACAAGATTGCAGAGAAACCCAAATCAACATCATTATCATCAAACAATATCTTTATATTTTTGAGGAATCAATTTTTGTGCAATTTTTACCAGCGATGAGCAGTCTTCGCCTTGCAGAAGTTTAAGACCAAAACCAAGACCAAGATCGAACGGGACAAGACTAAGACTAAAACCAAGACCAAACAAATAAGACTAAAATCAAGGCCGAATATGTAAGACTAAGACCAAATACGTAAGACTAAACGGGAAATTATTACTTCCTGTCGATGTATGAGTGTTTACTGTCAAGCTTTCTCTTAACAAAATTGCAGAGAAACCCAAATCAACATAATTATCATCAAACAATATCTTTATATTTTTGAGGAATCAATCTTTGTGCAATTTTTACCAGTAATGAGATAGTGTTCACTGTTACGCTTTCTCTTAACAAGATTGCAGAGAAACCCAAATCAACATAATTATCATCAAACAATATCTTTATATTTTTGAGGAATCAATCTTTGTGCAATTTTTACCAGTAATGAGAGCAGTCTTGGCCTTGAGAATGCAGAGCAAAACCAATACCAATATGGAACGAATAACACTAAGACTGAAACCAAGACCGAACAAAAGAAAACAAAACTAAAATCAAGGCCAAATATGCAAGACCAAGACCAATACGTAAGACTAAACGAAAAATTATTACTTCCTGTCGATGTATGAGTGTTTACTGTCACGCTTTCTCTTAACAAAATTGCAGAGAAACCCAAATCAACATGATTATCATCAAACAATATCTTTATATCTTTGAGGAATCAATCTTTGTGCAATTTTTACCAGTGATGAGAGCAGTCTTGGCCTTGAGAATGCAGAGCAAAACCAATACCAAGATGGTACGAACAACACTAAGACTGAAACCAAGACCGAACAAACAAGACCAAGACTAAAATCAAGACTGATTATGCAAGACCAATACCAAATACATAAGACTAGACAAAAAATTATTGCTTCCTGTCGATTTATGAATTAAACTATATGAACTAACTTTGATATTCATTTCTTGGAACAAAACATTTTTAGTATTTGAAATTTTCAGTTTATTTTACTAAATTTTAACACTAAATAGAAGTGAAAAAAAATTGTACCTACTACTGTTTGAAAAAAGGGATCTACATGAATATCCTCGCAGTAACTATTCTTTGTTCCTATGTCTGGATAACGCATGGTTGAAATATAGACGACAGAAGATATTTTATACTTCTTTCAAGTACCTTTTACTATTTTGCTCGCTTAAAAAGGTCAGTTTATGCTTTGGAGGGTCAATTTATGCACTGCAGGAAGGGTAAGTTCTCTCACAACTATCGACACTATTTTCTTTAAAAGTCTTGACAAGCTGGCATGTACGACAAAAAATTTCAGTATTTAAGAGAATTATTGTGTCGGCAAATTGACAAATTTGAGCTTAGAAGAATTATTTAAAAAGTATCTGATTAAATAAGCAAAACCAAGACTTAACACGCAAAATCAAGACCGAGACCATGTCAGCAAGACCAAGACAGCACGCAAGATCAAGACCGAGACCATGTCAGCAAGACCAAGATCAAGACCGAGATTGTATCAGCAAGACCAAGACCAAGACTAAAACTAGTATTTGAGCAAAACCAAGACCAAAACCAAATAAGCAAAGCCAAGACCAGTACCAACACTGGGACAGTCATGATCTTAGTCTTGCTCTGCTCATCACTAATTTTTACCTGAACTTATTAAATTGCGCTTTGTATTCCCGGCACAAATTTTTCTGGAGAAAGGAGCTTTCCTTGTTTAAAATGAAAATGAATAATTATCGGAAGTCTTCATTTTAGTCGTTGGAAACAGGAGACACGAAACAGTTATAGTTACAAAAGATTCCATGATCTACATTTTTTAAATGTTTTTTTCCTTTTATTCCTGCAACTATCCCGAAAACAAAATTATGAAAGAGATAGGATTTTTAGTAGTTCATCCAGATTTTACATCAGGAAATTCATAGTATAGTATTCATAGTATAATGGTATAAGTTTTATGGTTTACAACAATAAAAATACTGCGGCATGTAAGAAAAAAAATAATGAAACCGATTGCACTTAATCAAATAAATCTGTAAATCATTGTTCTATGGTATTAAAATGGCGGCTGCGATAACTTCATCATGCAAATTGACGCCATATGAATTTTTTACTTTTTTAAGTCTTTCATGCTTCACATGTAGAATCAAGTAAAATACATATTTGTTAATATTTCTGCTTCCATTTTATGTATGAATAAAAAATACAGCAGTGTTTTTTACATCCTTAATTAAAAGAGTACCTACGTATCTTTCGTAACATGTATTGTATATCTACTAAAAACCTAATGGGCAGCCATTACACGACTGTAACGCATACGGACACCATTTTGAATTGCTGGGAACTTGTCACAATCAGACAGATGTTCATATGTACTTTTAATTTAAGTGTGGTTTACAAATGATACGAGTAGAATAAATTATCAATAAATAATTCCACCCCACGATTAAAACAATGCAGCTGGTCAAATTTTTATGTTTGCATTTTGCATCATCGTATCAATTTGCAATCAGTAACTATGTACCTCTTCCAATAGCTCGCAAACTACTCAAGAAATTACTTTCAGGTTATTAATGTGTGGTCCGGAGCAAAAAACGTTTTAGACTCGGTAGAGTAAGGGATGTAGGCCGCCTTAGGTCTCGCGAGGGAGTGACGACCGCTCGTAACGTATAATTTGTATGTCAACAAAGAATAATAACAACCAGCTTAACGAGTTGGCCTTATCTCTCACCTCGTAGTTATGTTATACCTCTACGTCTACGAACCGCGAGCTCATTCCCGTCTCATAACAGGCGAAAGATACACAATACAGATACGGCTGAAGTTCGTTTATAAGAATTTCAAACATTATTACACTGCGCATTAAGATTGGCTCTTATGTTTCAATTTTTATTGTATTTTCAATTAATAGTACATTACGATCAACTTCATTAAAGACAGAACAACTGTAGGGATAGACATACACAGGGGCAGAAAATTAGTATGTTTAAATTTGCAGATGATATAGCAGTATTAGCATCTAGTAAAGAGGAGTTAGACATAGCGTTAAATAAAATGGAAGCGGTATTGACGAAACAGTATTGTATGAAAATAAATAAAAGTAAAACAAAAATACTAGTATGCAAGGGAAGAAAAAATAGGGAAAGAGCGAATAGCGCAGGGTCGAGGCGCCTTTAATAAAAAGAAGTCACTTCTATGCTCGCGAACAGTTAATGTAGAAATTCGAAAGAGATTGTTA